AAACTAGCTTGAACATGAATAACTCCCTTTGGTATTTTACGAGCATGCTTACGAGAACCAATACGTCCATTTTTATGCGAATCCATTCCGGTGTAGGTTTTGCAAAGAAAAAATTTCACTTACAAGATATTGAAAATTATAGATAGTATTACGAAAAAAAATATTGATAGTGTTTAATTTCACTATCAATAGCTTGAAGCACAAAGAAAAAAATTATATTTTAAAGAGTAAATTATACTGACACCCCCTTAGTTTTAGTGAATTGCACAAAACACCTTTTAATCTTTTACACCTGCAAAAAACCCTAATTTATATACATATATTACACTAATTACCCTCGTATGCATGAATAATAAATGTGATATTTTAAACAAAAAAGAAGACAAATGCAATTAAGTTAAATAAAATATGATATATTATGGAAATAAGTTCAAATAGTGTAAGATTAAATACATTTTCATTTTATTTGTAACAATATAATATAAAATGATTTAAACAATATCTCCTTAAAATTATTGATACATTTTGTAATGAATTAAAAATAATGAAAATGTATTTATTCATATACTGTTTGGACTTGTCTTCATAATACATCATATTTTATTTAACTTAGTTACAATTATCATCATTTTTTGGGTTAAAATCACACTTATTTCTCATGCAGTAACAATTAATGCAATGTATGTATATAAATTAGAGGAGTTTTGTAGATGTGAAAAAATGAGGAATGATTTATGTAATTTCACTAAAACTCACAGGTTTTCAATGCAATTTACTTTATTTTAAATCCTTAAACAAAATACATGCATCAATCAATTAATTAAACCAACCCCAAATAATTGTTTTCCTTAAATAGAATTAGAATATAAATTTGGCACAACATTCACCTTTCCCTTGGTCCCCCCAAATTGTTATGAATATGAAGAATAATCCATTCTTATTTAGTTATTTATTTATTTCCGCGCAATAATAATATCCAAATCCAATTATCTATATATCTATATACGCTTATAAAAGCCAAATCCAAAGAAACAAAACGGCAAAGAAACAAAACGTCAGAAACAAAACGTCAGAAACAAAACGAGGTCCCAGGGTTTTCCTTCACTCACGTGATTCCGATTCGTCATTCTCTTAACTCCACTCCTCTTTTGATTCACATTCTCATTCCTGTTTTCTTCTGATGCAAACAAACTATTCCCGTGTCTATGGAGGCGAATCAATCTCTTCAAGAGAACTCGAAATCGTTCGATTTGAACACTGAAAAACAAGAAGAGGACACTATTATCCACAACGGTGAAGGTTCTGCTTCTGGAGCGTTGAAAATCAAAGAATATGATTTAAAGGCACAAGATTGTTCTGATCAAGTTGTGAAAAAGAAGCGTAGAAGAAAATCTAAAAGGGAAGCGGAGATCGAACCGTTGAGTTTGAAGAAAAAGGTAGATAATGATAAGGTAACTGCTTCTGTTATTGGTATAAGATTGAATCCTCTGAATGAAGCTGCACAAGAAGACAAGTCTGAAGAGGTAAATGGTGGCATTGTGAAGAAGAGACGGGGTAGAAAAAGAAAACCCCTAGACAAAGGTGAAGCTAGTGATGCAAAGGTAAAAGATCAAGCTAATGCTGAAGAGGAATTGAAGGATGACCATGAAGAATATAGTGGCTTTTCGAAGAAGAGTCGTCGTCATAGAAAAAGAAAAACCTCCAACAAAAATGATGAGGCTAGTAATGCAAAGGCCGAAGATCAATCTAATGGTGAAATGGAATTTAAGGATGACCATGAAGAACACAGTGGCTTTTCGAAGAAGAGTCGTCGTCGTAGAAAAAGAAAAACCTCCAACAAAGATGATGAAGCTAGTAATGCAAAGGCCAAAGATCAATCTAATAATGAAAAGGAATTTAAGGATGACCATGAAGAACACAGTGGCTTTTCGAAGAAGAGTCGTCGTCGTAGAAAAAGAAAAACCTCCAACAAAGATGATGAAACTAGTAATGCAAAGGCCGGAGATCAATCTAATGGTGAAAAGGAATTTAAGGATGACCATGAAGAACACAGTGGCTTTTCGAAGAAGAGTCGTCGTCGTAGAAAAAGAAAAACCTCCAACAAAGATGATGAAGCTAGTAATGCAAAGGCCGAAGATCAATCTAATGGTGAAAAGGAATTTAAGGATGACCATGAAGAACACAGTGGCTTTTCGAAGAAGAGTCGTCGTAGAAAAAGAAAAACCTCCAACAAAGATGATGAAGCTTGTAATGCAAAGGCCGAAGATCAATCTAATGGTGAAAAGGAATTTAAGGATGACCATGAAGAACATAGTGGCTTTTCGAAGAAGAGTCGCCGTCGTAGAAAAAGAAAAACCTCGAACAAAGATGATGACGCTAGTAATGCAAAGGCCGAAGATCAATCTAATGGTGAAAAGGAATTTAAGGATGACCATGAAGAATATAGTGGCTTTTTGAAGCAGAGTTGTCATCATAGAGAAAGAAAAACCTCCAACAAAGA